CTTCAAACTTCTACCTCTTTTTCTCTCAACCCTGTTGTTGCCCTTCAAACCTTGCTGTCTGTATCCGAACCATTGTAGCACAATAGGAAAAGGTTCTTGCTAAAAACTATGCAGAATTAGACGTACATCCAAACTCTGCCACAATTCACCTAAAAATGTCATGCAGTCAGATGATATCATACATCAGGATACATGCACGACGTAAAGCGATGGAACGTGTTTGGGACGATTACCCACGGGTTTTCTTTCGCTGTCGTTGCTATAGTGTCTCATTGTTAAGTTTACTTTTATTGTTAAGACGGATGCTTCCCGTTGCTGTTGCTGATACTGGTATCCTTATCGTTATGTTATTTCATTTTGGCTAATTTTTTTCCCTGCTTAAGTGTTAATTTTTGGTCGATTCCTATCTTTTAACCATCATCTCCTTCGCTATCTAAAGACGCATATTGCCCCGTGGATCTGAGCTGCGGTCCGCATCCAAATGACAAAAGAATTAGGTCGCAGGCGCTTTAAACTAATATGCTTGTTTTTCCAGCTACTTAGCTCAGTGTTATTACTTTCATTATCTTTGTTGATGCTAAGCCTATGCATAAGTGTGCGAAGTTTGCGAAGAAACGAACGACAAGGATCTACAAATGGGCGCAATGAGAAGTATCATGCAAGCCAAGAGTCTAGCGTGTCAAAGCAAACAGCTTTTGCTTGCGCCTCGGTCCTAAGCGTCGGCAAAAATGACACACAGCTGACAACATAAAAACTATCATACATATATAAATTAATGTTTTTAGGCACATAGTAATCCGGTTTATTTTTCGGACTAAATACGGCCGTGGTCCGACGGCGTAATTTATGTCGTATAGCATATTGTCGCATTCACAGCCGCTGTTCGCTTAGTGATGCGTTTTGTCACCAGACCCTTCGCTCAGAGCAGACGCAAAACTTACCTGTATGTGACCTTAATTGCCGAAGATGGCAACATTAACTACAACGCCGCCAACTTTGAAACTAAGCAAATCAAGTCTTAAACAAACAGAGAAATAGAATAATGTTTTAAAAAATAAAGCCAGAGTAATCCATCTATGTACAACACTGTAAAAATGGGTATAAGTAAGACCATAATAGGGACTGGCGAGCTCAACTACTTGATACAACAAGAATCAAAGCGTGGTCCCTTTTTACGCTAGCCTGCTCTTTTTTTTGTTATGATTCTTGCCTTTTGTCTAACACCATCAAACGAGCTATATATATATATATATATATATATTATTAATTTACACGCAACAGTTATTCTGCATATAATTTATGTTAAGAAATGACGCTCAATTTTAATAAATGCAAAATATCCTGTAGCTGACATGAACGAGTCCGATGAACCAAGTGCCCTGACGCTATACGGCACAGATGAACTATCTGAAGCATATCGTAGCATCCTATTGACCTAGATAGATACCTGAAGGGAGAGAGAACTCGTTCCGGCCATGTTTCAGATTGGTATACATCGCGTATAGTATGCAAATTCGTGGGTAAAAAAATTCCTTCCATCTCTAAGGGGAAATTTATTAACACGCATTATACTTGTATCAGAGCCCAATAAATCAGGTTTCACTAAACTAGCCTGGTTAACCGTTTAGAAAAATTACAGTACTTACACTTAAATAGGAAAGCTTGAAGTATATTTCACAAAAGTATCTTTTGTATTGAAATATTAACACAAATGACGATTATATACGAGTTGTCTTATTTGATATTAGCGAATTATTTGAGGTAGGTTATCCAACTAATTCACAAACACTGCTTCCTTCTCTCGGTACTTGGAGAAGTACGTTTTTATTTCGTGGGAAGGGCAATGAAAGATATTTCTATATCAAGTCAACTTCGGAGTTACGGCGTATAGGTGTTCTGCTGACGTCGACACACCCATGCGTTGAATTCGAAGGCCCAAAAAGTTGCCAATTTCCCACCGGAAATTATCTGTATTTAATAAAACGACTTTTTTGATGTGTTGGAATTCGAGTAGAAATTCATGTGCTTCTACTCGTAATACTACGGCGATTATAATTTTTGAATGAAATTTCGCACATGCTTTGCTTACGCCACATTTAGCCCTGAACAACGATCGGCGATCAGTAAAATATGCTTAAACATCATTATCTTTTTGCCGAAGCACCCTGAAAAGCCCTGATCGGTCTACCATTTCTACGGAGGCAGCTAGGTTTTCGTAGCCTTTGTCCTCCACCCAGCATGTCAAGCAGCCCGGACCTTGGTACCCTCCCTCCCATCTAACTGAGGAGAGCGACCCTCGCCATACCGGCGAACCCAGAGGTCTGCGAAAAGAAACATCAGACCCATCCGTGTGGAACGGACGTCGAGAAAGAGAATTCTATAGGCTCTATAGCTACTCAGCGGTTGACAACGATTGCAAGCACTACCACCACCCCTGCTATCACCACACCATCTACGACCTTCGGGGGCGCGTGTTCCAGGTGTAGTAGCAGCACAAATATATGCACACACACACACATATATATATATATATATATGAAATGCTGTCTATGTGCGCGTGAGTGTTGAACGTTTCGTTCGGAATTAGCATTTATCAATAGCTCCGTACCGAATACGTGAATTCGACAATATAGAGCGTGAAAAGTCGAGTTGGCTGAACCACACAGCAGGCAGAATAATCAAACGAGAGCTTCGTTCTCTGCTATTGGCGATCCTTGAAAAGGAAGGAAAAATTGTAGAAAGAACACAGGAAAGCAACGGATACGTGTAGCTCCGTGCAAATTTACTCAACTAGATGTAGCTATGCTATAGTAACGTGTCGAGTATTTATTCGGTGTTAACCAGTGAGTGTGTGTGTGTGTGTGTGTGTGTGCGTATGTTTGAATGTTTATTTGTCTGTCCGTGTGTGTGTGTTTGTGTATCTCATCGTGTTGCATCAATCTATTCGCTCTTAGCTTGGAGCGTTTTATTTAAACCAGTTTCAACATCAACGTAAACCCATTATAGAAGGCAGCAATTTCACCAGGTAATGTCATACAGGTAGAACCTATAATTTTGACAATGACGACAATTGTAGTTCTGGCGTCACCCACGCATACTATATATATATATATATATATATATATATATATATATATATATATAGAGAGAGAGAGAGAGAGAAAGCAAAAAAGATACATCTATGTAAACATATTTACCGTGGAGGATATTACATTATATTGGCGTGGATTTTGTAAGTTAAATTTGCGATTTTCATCAGTGTTTTGCCGAGACGTCTGTTCTGTTTTGGCTGTCGATTGCTGACGGGCTTCAGTACGGGCTGTGGAAGCATACAGCCATAGGCAGCGACGTACATCGTAAACAATAGCAATGAGGGGAAAATTATTTGGGCGGAAAATTGTCAGACTAACAAGTCTCTGTACTTCGAACGAATGCTAACTGACTGTGATAGAATCTACAGAAACGCGCGGCTCGTTTTTTTATTCTGACAAGTACTAAATCTCTATTCGAGATTGCCATATTGCAAGTGCGAAATCATTTTATCATTGGACACGTCATACAAGCAAACATTTGAACCACGATGATATTATCAGCGGCTATATTCATCTCTGCTGGTTCTAGTGTGCTTCGTAGGTTGGACGCTGGGATGCTTGTTTGAAATTTAAGCGAAAGGATACAACGTCGGCAATGAGTCCACTGGCAATATTGATGAGATTTGACATCGCATATCGGCTGCGTTCTTGGCACTATGTTGAAATCGTGCCCCAAAATGAAGGCGCTCGGGTAGACTAGTTCTTCTTTTCGGTGTGTTACCTTACTATGAGAACTTGACTGGTCTTCGTCTGTGCATCGCTCGCATAAAGTGCCTATACTTATACCATAGTCGATGTTAAAACAGTAAGTTGTAAAAGTTAAGTTCGAGATGGGTTGTGATTCGTATCGTGTTAGAAATCCGTTTCTCAAGTTTTTGAGTTGTTAAACATAACTTGAATAGACGACAACATTTCGCCTGCATCAGGTAACCGGGTATAGCCGAATCTAATTGGATGTGCCCCTTTTAGTTCTATATATATATGTTTTTTTTTTTCCTATAGATAATTTCCAAACTCCCCGGTATAAATATCGAACGGCGGAAATTGTGAAGTGTTACAGGGGTGGTTAGATTTAGACCCAGCATACAATATTAAAGATACGATAGAATATTATTATAAATATTTATTCCCGCGATGCTTCGATTTTTCCTCAATATTTGAACCATTAATTATTGATTAGTTCTATAAAATAATAAAATAGAAATCTAAAGAGCCATACTATACAGTATATATATTTAAAGCCTATAATAATGGCCGAACCGTTATTCGGTAAATTCGGCATTAACCTTCCTTCAATATCAGACCTTTCCATTTCCTTCACCGTAAGAAGATGTCTTATTTACGGAAACGTAACTAAGAATTGAGTGGAAACGCTCTGATCAGATCAACTCTAATATTGCTATCACGAATAAAGCATTGACAATAATATTTAATCACATGATTGTCATTATATCATGGCTGTGAAGTTCTTTCGCTGATGATCCGTTCAGGAAGGAATTCACGAATTACGAGAACCCCGTAACACGAAAGACGTCGCTACACGATTTGTTTTACCTCTCACGCCATTGCGTTCCGAGACACAGCTCGTTGGTCGTACACTTCACTGACCAAAAAAAAGCTAACCCCACCTTTTTCGATGAAACAGTGACGAATTCAATAAAATAAATCTGTGCTAACACCATAGAGTTTACGGTATTCGACAGAAGTTACATGACAAGAGCGGAGCAAAACTTATTTCTATCAGATAGATCTAGCGCTTCGAATTTAGACCACTTTGCGTGTTTTTAGTATAACAGGCAAACACGTGACCACTGTGTCATACTGGGAATTGTCACGAAAGTGTATGTACACAACAACGGCCATGCGGTATCTCTAGCAGCGCAATCATTCGTACCCTAGCTAACATACCTCGATTGCATAATGTGTCCATTTTTGTGAAGGACACCGTCGTGTCCTAATATTATTGATGTTTTTGTTGTGTGGCGTCGTCTTCCCCTCTCGCCGCGGAAGTGCACACGATCACTTCATGCCTGAAAATTCGAAAGGAGAGCAAAGAAACGAGAGCGTTAAACACGTTTACTATGGGTAAACAAATAGCAGGCGACAGAGAACATGTCTATTTAGTACAAGCTGGTAAACACTAACGTACCGATGTTTAAATTGTCTTGTTTATTATGACCATAAATGCGGTTGTGTCATAAGTTCGATGTACGACAGATGCCATGAGATGATTCCATGTCTTGGATATCAGCTTTAAGCCAGATAAATGACATGAGAGACGGGTATGGCATTGTGAATGGGATTGCTCTTTGTTGTATAGTATTTTTCACGATTGTGTTATTGCTTTGCCATTGGTATCGTATTTGCAGTGAGCTTGTTGCAGTGATTTGCTGTCTACGTCATTATAGTCTAGCCTAATTAATTTTTTTGCTATATAAAAAGTAATGTAGTATATTAATCGGATCAAAATGGCATTACGTAACGCTAAATAGAAAGAAGAGGAGTCAGCGGAACGACACGTCGAGCATCTTTGGGGGCCTTTGATTAGTCTCAGAACATGTAGTTAAAAGGAGCTTCAACACGATCGACCAAGAATGACTTGGACGCATATCTAGAGGAGATTTTCGTGTTATTTTAGAGTTACTCGATAAGACACCTAACGATAGGTACTTCGACGACATGATCGATGAGACCAAGGGTACCTCGATCGGCGTGACGTTGTTTATCACCCAGTTCGCCGAAGGGCTTAAAGGAACTGACCTCGAACATGTGACAGGTAATGCATTTGCCTACTTTGATGAACGGTACAAAGCTCACATCAATTAGGCTGCGCAGACTTCTCACGACGGCCGGTGGCAGAGTCGTTGACGAAGGGGTGGACCAAATACTTTGAGATGACTATGTCGAGTTGGTGTGCATTTTGAAGCGCGAAACAAAAGACAACAATGATATCCGTTTCAACGTCCGCTCGGCCTGAGATTATAACGAATCGAGAAACGATGGACTTCCATTGATTGATGATAACGTTTCTTGACCGTTAGAAGGAGCGAACCAAGAGCGGCTAATTGATAACGTAGTAAGTGTTGAGATAAAAGCATGCGATCAATGGGAAAAATACGGTAAGCAAAAAAGGACAAAAAGAAATATTATGCCTATGTACCAACAAAAGACGAAGGACAATAATGTAAGTTGGGTAACGCAAGTACGACATTTTAATGTAAACGACAATGCACATTCGGTTCTGACGAAATGATCATTAATGTTCATTCTCTCGTATATGGACAATAGACCCACAAGGTCGCTAAAAGCTTAAGCAATGACTCTTATATTACGGAAGATCCTATCCTTACGGAAGAATTAATATCTAAAAAGCATTCCGCTGTTTCAGCTTTATACTTTTAAAGGAAAGTTATTTATTTATGTTTAGAAGCCATTGCTAATTCAGCGTTCTTGTAAATACGATGAAGTACGTCCTACTTGAAGACGAAGTTCGAGAGCGTACAAATATAAAAGCTTTGTTCGGAGCATTTTTTTTACCATTCGTATGAAAACCAATATGCACACCACTGTCCACATCAAAATGGTCGCTTCGAAAATGAACGCTAGATGACAAAACACAGTAGGACAAAAGCAGGTCGTCGCATTTCGTTAATTTGATTCTAACAGTTCTATTTCGAATATATCATTAAGCTTTTCTGTCTAGTTCTTAGGCCGGTTCAGTAGGCACGGTAGCAAACTTTATTTGTGCCATACTTACTGCATTTAAAATATGGCCAATGGTGTGATACAAAACGTTGTCGTTAAGGGGTCGTGAACGCAAAGTGCCATCTTATGTCATGGTAGACTGACAGGTGCTCCGCTTTTTTGTGACTGTGCTCTAGTTGGTGGACTAGCATTACGCGTCGTCGCGTTTGCCTATGTTCACGACGAACCCTGGAACGCGTAATAACCTGTCGTATCTTGAGCCCCAAAATCAACGGAACAGCAGCAGACAAAAAATCCCGTTTTGTTGCAGTGTTATTCACAGCTATGTAATGAACAGTCCTACCCGTATTAGCCGTCTTGGACCCATTCTACCTAGACTGTGTTTACGTTTGCCCCTTTCTACTGGAATACATTTTGTCAAGGACTAAATAGCTAACTAATATTATAACGCACATTATAAATGCAAAAGGGCTTCTATGCGTCGGCTGATACTTCCCGCTAGAGAGCGGCCATCTTGAACAGGGGCGATCATCCCTGTAATAATTTTCTTGATAGAGTGGTATAGTTCTCGTCGCAGAATTGATCGCTATCCCTGAATATCGGATTGGCCGAACCTTACATCGCCTTACGATATAGGTCCATATTACTTACAGACAGGAGATAGGTTATGCGGAGTATGAACTTGTAAGCTAGTTTACCGCTCAAAAGGAAACAAATATTTGTTACTGGTGGAATGTCCCCATCAGGCTTATCCACATCTTCTCCCTGCTTTTAGCAATGTTCGCCCTGTTATACTTCCTAATTCTTTTTGTAGTTTTCATGTACCTTGCGGGCGCAGGGACGGGTACTTTCGCGGGGGTGACAACTCTCCGTCACCGACTGCCCCACGGCCTACATCAGCAGGCTTCACGAAATCCTTAGCTTTTTTTCCAGGTTAGGTCAGGAAAGAGACTGGATGTTGCCCGGCCGAAAAAGAAGGGAAGCGTTTATGCATGGCTTGCGGTTTCTGCGTTCCGGGTTTCTACCGCAGAAAGCACACGCAACTATCTCGCACTTTCGTTGGCAAGTAGATGTGGATCTGAAAAGCGTATCCTCCTTCTAATAAAAGGAAGCTTGCCCTCTATCTATCGCTTCATTCGAGAATTGTATCCGTCTGCTGACATCTAGCGGCGTTCTATGATTAGCGTAATAAACCAGAAGAGCTGATTTAATTACTTAGTAATCCACGCCGTGTGTCATAAGATCATAACGTATTTTGCTTAGTTTAAATGCCTCGGCTAAATTATAGCGTCTAATTAATTGTTTTCTGGCAGTTAAATAGATTGCTGCATTGGGCATAATCCTTCTCATAACCTAATCAATAGCACAGATTGAAGTCGAAACCTTGCGTTTGATTGATGTGAACCTTCTCATTGTCAAGACCTGTAGCACAAGTGCCTGTGCCATTTGTTTATGATATATAATAGTAAACGATGCATGCCTCAGTGCTGCTGGTCGTATGGCTCAACTCGTTGGCGGTAGGTCGACATTACCTTGTAGCCGATTTGTTATTGCAACAATTAGAAACGCAAGTATATTTCGACTGGGAATTTGTTACGATTTGGTCTATATTCGTTCACGTTATTCGTATCAGCAAATCGTGCCTAAGGTGATTATCCAGCTGAGAGTTGATTTGAAATAACAGCTTATATATAATGTGCGTACATTTTAATTGGGTCAGATAATTTCAGCTTGGTCCAGCATTCATCGATTCCATGTTGGATTTATGTCTAAATGATAAAGTAACCCAAAATACACTCACTGCTACAATTCTTCGAGTCGACGCAATCTGGGTCTAGCCAATTGGATCTGTACGTTCAGGTGGGCAGATTCATCGATCCCGAACTTAGATGGCGATATCGAAGCGGTTCGCTTGCTCCTCGTTTTCATCATTGTCCTTATAGCTAAGCTGTCACGCTATGCGGCCGAAAAGAAACTAGTTCACTTTGCATTTCGAAGTTCTGCCGGTTCAGCTAAATAATGTCAAGGAAGGTGATCCCTTTCGTGTCACGTAAAGGCTGTTTGAGCTGGCCGAAACCGGTAGACTTGCGCCGTGATGATCAGCGTTTGGGGTCCTTTCAACATTCTAGATTATATACTTGCGTTCGCTAGCTTCTCGGTCTAGCGGCTTTCCGTTAGCCGGGCCTACTACCAAAAATCTGGCGGAAACGTAAGTGTTGTGTGTTTCTAAATCAGGAGTTGCGAGACCGAGATGCTGAGTAAAACCAAGGGATCTGGAAGGCAGAGGTAACGGTTGCAGAGATCCGTAATGTAGGTTTACCTCTACCCATTAGTCTGTGTCGAGCTTAATGATGGTAGTTATAGTTTTGCTATGTTTATGGTGCACAAGCTAACATATAACGAACGCGGACACAGCTTTTCTATGCAGGTGAACTCTTCACATATGAACATAAATTGATATTACTTAATATGGAATATTAGCGGAGAGCTTTCTAATGTGACTGCTTTCTAAGGGCTCCTTAATATATCTCTACTGTGCGTCTAGAAGGTACGGAATAACAGGGACGTTGTTTTATAATAAAGCTGATCCGAGAAAAAATTATAACCTATTCGAAGTAAGAACTGATTTCAAATGGAACAATGTCTCTTATATCAGGGTCTTTTAAATACATTCAGTTCAAATTAGACAATTTCTTGGAAATAGCAGAAAAGTGCAATGCTCCGCACATTGGCTGTCCTGCAAACTCGTGATGCCTTAACTTTTCTTCGGAAACTAATGTTCAGTTAAGCTTAAATTAAGCATAAGCCTCAAGTTCTGACTGGGCAGAGCTAAAATTTAAAAGGAAATAAAAGTTCTAGCTGCTCGCTTATCTTAAAGGTTTCATGCCGATACTCGTAAAATGTTTTCTATTCCTAACTTTCATGCAAGAACGCGACGACTAGAATCCGAAAACAGCGTTAAAATTGCAGGACATGCCACCGAAAATCGACTTCCGTGCCGGACACAACAGCTGTTTGTCATACGCATATATATATATATATATGATAAGCAAGAAAAGTTTGACGTCTCGCTCTAGCTGCGATGGAAGTTCGTGCAAAATGGCGTACAACAAACCACGACACAGTCACCCGCCATCGCAAAGTCGCATTTAGTAAACTTTTGTGACAGCAACAGCGGCTAGTTCCTGTGAGGATAATAAAGAAATTTGATTTGATAAGCGGTATTTATAGACGGCGCTTCCTCCAGAAGGGTCGTCGTAACTCTATTTAGATCGAAATAGCTACCCAATTCAGAGAGATGAGCAGAGCAGCATATAAACGGTCA